ACTGTCTTCCACAGCTGCTGCACCTCGTCACATTCTCACTGGCGTGAACCAGCGCCTGTTTCTCCAGCACCCCAGCGAATGGCAGGTGCGGCTTTCTTTCTCTTTTTCTCTCATGCCTGTGCTTACTCATCAGTCATGTTGGCTCTGTCTTTAAAGTGCAGCTCAACCCCCTTCATCCCCACCCTTCTCTAGGCACTGTCACCTCCAGCCACCTCCTGACCAGAGGCCAGAGCAAGGTTTTAAAGTATCAACCAGATTGTGTCATGCCCCTGCTCAAAGTTTCCCAGAGGTGTCTGCTGACTTGGACCTAGTCCACTTACCGCCCCAACAACCAGTTTCCTGAGGCTCATCTGCCCCAGGCACACCAGCTGGAGTGTTGCTTCTTTGTAACTCATCACCATGGCAGAGGCTAAAGACTAAAGGACAGTTGTCCCATGGAAACTTAAAACCCTTTCTGAGAAGGAAAGGCAAGGCCCACAGGAGCTCATGACAGAGTGGGTCCTTTTAGGGGTCATCGTCTCTGGGGAAACAGGACCATCAACACAGAATCCGCTTGTAATGTGACATGAATCAGTATCAGGGATCAGTGAGAGATGGAGGGGGGGCCTGGGATGGATTGAGACAGGTGGACACATGGGCACAGTGACCAGGACTTACCAGAAAGGAGCAAAGGAAGATGAAGGAGACGAAGTAGAAGTAGGCAAAGTCGCTCCCACACTCACTGGCATTGGCGTGCTCATCACAGGCCTGGTTGCTGAGACAAGACAGCATGATCTCATGCCAGGCCTCCCCAGTGGCACTCCTGAGAAGAAGGGCAGAGCCATGAGACCCACAAAGGAAGGCCCAGGCCAGCCTGAGAAGAAACCTCAGAAGAGCTATACCCTCCCTGGGCTCCCTCCCACAGAGAACCCACTCATATGTAAGGTCTAGGTAAGAGATGCCTGCTTCTTAAAAAGAATCCTCTGGCATTAGGTTTTCAAATTGATCATTAACTCGGAAAGAACTGGTTACTGACAACAAGGCACTGCACCAAAAGTCAGCACTATGGTGGGCGCCCCTTCATGGACCTCTGGCACCTCGGAGCCAACACAGCCCTTCCTGGCCTCCCTCACCCAGCATGTGCCATCCCAGCCTTCCCTGATTCAAGAAATGGGGGCTCCATCCCGTTTCTTAGGCCAAATATACTGCAGGCATCCCTGCCTCCATTCCTTCTCACCAGCTTCATCAGCTCATCTACCTTCAAAAACCAGCTAGACTCTTACCACTTCTCAGCACCCTGGGCTAAGCAACACCCACCTCCCCTGAGCTGCTGCAATAGCTTCCTCATGGATCTTCCTGCTCTGCCCCACCCAACGGCCCAAGTGGGTCCACTACACACAGGTGAGATCAGGTCACTTTTCCTCTCAATGACCCCTCACTTACTGCAAAAGCCAACATTCACACAACTGCCCACAGCTCTGTGAAACTCGCAGCCTGCTCTTTCCCCGTGGTCTCTGCTCAGTCCACTCCAGCCACACCAGCTTCTGCTGTTTCCTGAATACACCAAGAACAGCCCCACCAGCCTGAGCGGCCACCCTGGAAGACCTTTCTTCATGGACTTTTGTCCCTGGGTGTGTGGCCAGCACGAGGGCCAGATGTGCACTAGACTAGCAGGCAGACCAGAGGCCTGGGCCACCCCCTGACACTGGGTGTGCCTGCATGGCCAGCTCTCAGCACAAGTGGAGCCCACTTCCCATTAACGATGGCTAGGAGTAGGGGGCTTTTCCTGCAGGGCAGCTGTCCAATGCCAGGCCTGACTGATACTGGTCCTCACAAGTGACACAGAGACCAGGGAGGAAAAGAGATCTTTGAGAACAAAGACTTAAAACTGAGGCTGGTTTCATAGGCCTGCCTCAACTCTTGCAGCACGAGGCAGGACATTAATAAATGAAGAGATGAAATGAACGTAATAGCTAAAGTCCAGAGAAATGATGTCATTTGGAGAAAGTGTAGGCCTAAGGATACTTGTCCATCTGATAAAAAAACAAGAGTCAGAAAACTCTCTCCAGGCAGCTTAGCTAAGCAGATCGGTCTGATCTCCCTCCATAAAAAGAAGAACCTCCACGGGCCCTGGAATGCATCTGCCTGGGATTAACCGCGCTGGGCATCTCCCAGCACAGGCCCTACAGCATCCTGGTGCATCTGCATGAACAAACACGCGTGTGGGCACCTCAAGAAGGAGCCCCAGGCAGGGTTTTATGTCAGCACCCCTCCTCCACAAGTCCCTACGAAGCGCTCCTTTCTTCCCTCCTAGGGTCATGTGGTGGGCTTGCCTTAACGAAGGGGACCCTGGAGGCAGTGAGACACATTCACCCCCTCCCCACAGCCCCCAAACCAGGATGGGCCACAGACAGTGTGTCACGTCTCGGAACAAAAGCTGACATGCAGCCCTGTCGAGCACACAGGGAGGCGCCTGAGCCAGAAACAAGCTACTCTGCCTGCCTTGGAGCCTAGGGAATTGCAGTCCTGTGAGCCATGGGGCAGGTGGAGGCACTCACTCTGGCCAGTTGAGTTCCTTGGGTCCCTGAGGAGCACACTCTGTGTCCCCCTGCCCTGCCCCCGCCCCCGCCCCGGATCCCACAGACCCTGCAGTCAACAAGGTGAGCAGATGCAAAGCCTATGTCCAGCACACCGAAAAAGGCCCTGCTGGACACCTTCTGTCCTCCCAGACCCTTGGCTGCAGCTTCACCAGAGGCCTTCTGGCCACCCCCAGGGATCTGAGCTGAGGTGGTCAAGGCCAGCCTCACCTGGGGCTCTCAGGTTGACCTCCCTCATGGACTTCCCTTCCATCTGTCCCGAGGCCCAGGAACCCTTAGGGAAGGAAGGAGGAAGAGGGGAGAAGAAGCTGGCAAGGCCCACTGAGGGGAAGCCAGCACGAGCTGGGGGTCGGAGGGGGGTGGCCCTCTGGGTTGGCACATGCCCTGTCCCTCCTGAACGGAGGAGCCTCTGAGCCTGCGCTGACTCCCCAAGCAACACACCTGAACAACAGCATCAAGGCTTGCAAAAACGTCCTGAAGTTGTTGTGCCGGTTGATGCTGGTGTCATCATCCAGGGCAATATTTCCAAAAACCTGAAATGAGAAAGAAGGCTGCAGGCTGGTACTGTTGGGTCCTCAGGAGCTGTGGCCAGGCAGAAGAGGATGTGCGCACGTGAGGACCCACAAGGCACAGGACGCTGCCCTTAGCCACCACCACTGCGGCAGGGGCTGGAGGGGTCAGCACTTCCAGCCAAACATGTCACTGCCCGCCCCCCCGCCCAGCTCCGCATGTCTACACCTGCAAGTCCGCATGCCGGGTAAAAATGCCACCCGGAGCTAAGTTTACATGGGCTGCGCTATATCTAAGACAGGAAGCATTTGAAATTTCACCCTGTCATCAATGACTCCAAAGCAGTAATTTTATTGGTAATAGCTATGAGGTCAACTTGAAAGTTTCTTTCTAAATTTCTGTGCAAATATCACAACGGGCTTTTTATCCATTTTAATTGATTTATTTTTAGGGTTAGGAATGCAAACAAGTCAGTAACTGTACTTGGCTTAAAATCTGGAATCTGGCTGAAAAATTTATGAACTATCACATATTCACCAAAAACAAAGATCAGTGACCCTTCTGGTCTTATAAATTCCCAAACCAAAGCAGGCACAAATATATATATTTTTTAAATAGCATCAGATCTCAGCAAATTTTAAAGGAAGAGAACCTTTTCAATCCCTGAAATAGAGTTTAAAAATCAGTTTTCAGCTACCTTTAAGACAATGGCTTCTCCAACTATAATTTAACATTTGGATCCATCTCCCATCCTACTGCTGAAAAGTGGCCAGATGCCAAAGATTTAAAACTGGAACACTGCTTTGTCTTTTAAATGTTTTTCCAAGTAGCTGACAAAGGGTTCTTTGGCAAAATAAAGGCATTCTAACTTATCCAAGCTGAACTTGACAGTACAGTGATCTGGTGTGATCCTGTTGACTTTTTTCTTCTGTAATATATAACTTCCTGTAAAGGATCAGGTCAACTCTCTGGACTAACAGAATGACCAGCTGGTGCTTTGCAGGCCACTCAGCACCAGGCAGATGTGCTCAAAAGCTCCACCACCATGGGGGCCCGGCACCCAATCAAACATGCCCATCAACACCCTAACAGCCCAATGGGGTTCCACTCAGGAGCACAGCAGAGCATTTTCCCACAGACGGTGGAGCTACGCCTCACTAGTGGACTCTGGGTGACAGGCCCAAACCCGTGGTGCCCAGCCTCCGTGTCCTTATCGGTAGAACAGCCTTTCTGAGAATTTTCATAAAGTGCTTCAAACATAGAAATGTTCCCCAAGTGCCAATCTGTCATTGATACCATTTGATGACCATGATCAGTGCCCTTCTGCCCCAGGGCACAGGGGCCCCTTCTGCTCCCTGTCCCATCAGGCGCACCCACCTGCATGCCGATGATGGCGTAGATGAAGAACAGCATGGCGATGAGCAGACACACGTAGGGCAGGGCCTGTAGAGACATACAGAGGACAGGGCAGCTCCAGGGAGGGCTGCCCAGCTACCTTGCTCAGGCCTCGTCTGCAGAGTTGACGGTGGCCGGGTCTCTGGGGCCACCCAGACCCCAGCGACCGCAAATCCACCCCCACTGACCATGAAGCCCCTCCACCAAGAGACCGCCTCAGTTCCTTCGTCTATAATCAGTCATAGAACCCACCTCAGAGTCAGTGAGCATTACCAAGATGCTCTCTGGATCACTTAAAATGTCTTTGTAAACTACAATAGGATAACGGGTGCCAACAAGGAGCCTCCACGAGGAGGGGCTGCTCTGGTGGCGAGGAGGAGCTGGTGGCCACAGCACTGTGCATCACACAGGGGAGGGTCAGGGCACGAGGGCCGTGCCTGGGCTTCACCTTGAAGGACTGGACGAAGGTCCACAGCAGGATGCGGATGGTGTAGCCTTGGCGCAGCAGCTTGATGAGCCGGGCAGCACGGAAGAGGCGGAGAAAGCTGAGGTTGATGAAATTGTTCTGTAGGGAAGAGAGGCTGTTCTCTAACCTGCGGAGACCAGCCTCCTGCAACTGCAGGTGCTGCTCCCCACCCACCTCTCCCTGGCGTGCTGTGGTCCCGAAGAAAAGTGCATACAGAGAGAGATCGAACAAAACGTCACTGCTCTACGGTATAAGCAGCAATCGGCCACCAGAAAACCTTCCAAAAGTAAAGCTTGTCATTGCAAATCACTTCTCATGCAGCAAATCAAAGAAACCCCTCCGCTTTAGGCCCCCCTGCACCCAACAGGGAGGGAGAGAGAGAAAAATTCTCAGAAGCAGCTCCTTGCTGCCAGGTGGAGCCAGGAGACCAACTGTAGATGGGCCTCTAACACTGACCGCCTCTGGCAAGACACAGCCAAGCCGTCCAAGTGCCGGGCAAGGCTGCTTCTTCACCGAGAGCCTCTGAAGGGCCCTTCGCATCTCCATACGGCTAGCAAAGCCCCTGCTGCCTGGGACCTGGCAGAGGGGCAAACATCTCTTCTGGGGCTGCTCCTGGTGCCTGCAGACAAGTCACCATAGGAAGGGTAAGTGTTGGCGATCCTGCTGCCCACACCACGGAAGCCACTTATGAAATCCGCAAATGGTCTCAACTCCAGAGATCCCAGGGTATCTAGCACTGCTCCCTCATCCAAGAGGTTCAAAATCAAGCACAAAAAGAAGCAATAAACTCTGGACTCCACAGATTACCTGGGAGTGAGGCTTCCACCCTGGCCCAGGGGCGCCTTGAGTTATTGGCACATCCCTTTCAGGGAGCACGGCTCTGGACGATGTCCATGACGTGGGGGTGCTTGTGGCCCTGGGCAGTCTCCCACCCTCTGTCTGCTTGGAGACCAGGTGCCCGCACGCAGCCTGACAGCAGCTTCCTGCCACTTTGGTGTTTTAACATATGCAAGCAGCTCAGGCCTAGACACATCGTATCGCCAGATTCAGTGGTCAGATGAAGAGAAAAGAACACGACATGTTGAATGAGAGCAGCAGTAGGAGAGCACGTGCAGGAGGCATGGGGAGCCTGGGGAGAGCTGGCCGCCCTCCCTCCAGGGCTGCCCATCTGCTCTAGGCTGGGCTGAGGCCTTTGGTGGAGAGGCAGGTCTCACTCTTACTTCTAAGGACAGTGGCCCCAACCTAGCCCTTGTCTGCCTCTTCAGTTCCCACCGGGGTGGCTGGAGACTAGACTGTCTCTGCTGGAGGGCTAGATGTCGGAGCCATGGGGTGGGAGGTCTGGTAGTCACAAGGAGGTGCTGACTGTGGTCCAGATCAGCAAGAAGACCGGAGTGGACCTTGAGGTGTGACCCTGGAGGGCACACAGTTTGCCTAGAGCTCCCTCACCTGCTTGTGCTGGGGAAAGAGAATCTCAGTGGTACAGGATGGCCAAGAGACATCCACCCCTGCCCCGTGGGCCCCAGGTTCTCAAATGAGCCAGTCACCTCGGGAGGATGGGCACAGAGATGGAAGGGAGACTTTGTCTACAGTACTGGGAAATCCTTTGTACAAGACAATAAAGCAGAGGAACGGGAGGGAGCTTCCAAGGGCCCGGCCTCTAAAGCACCTGCTCACTTGGGTCTGGAGGGGCCAAGACTGTGATAACACAGTTATCATTTGCCCAGCCCAAAGCGCTCTGCTCAGGCCACTGGCACAGACGAGAAGATTTCCTGGAGATATTGGGGAAAATCTAGGCTCTGGGTGAGAAAGAAGGGATGGAAGACAAGGCAGGGGAAGGCACTGTCCATCCACATGGTGCATGAACGCAAAGCTCAACAAGTCACCTGCTACGTTTTGTTGAGACTCAAGTTTTCACCCCTCCTCCCAGATGTCTTTTCTTGGGGCTCCAGTGGGCATTCAGGAGAGGGGTGGGGGTGGCAACAGACAGACAGCCCTAGAGAGCCATGAGGACAGATGGCGACAGCAGCCACAGATACTCTGAGCACAGCGTGGCAGGCAGAGGACTCCGAGGCTGTGCCCAGGGCGGGAGCTGCCAGGCAACACCATGCGAGCGCATGCAGGAGAGCAGGGGGCAGCAAGCACACGGCAGCCTCCCACGGCTATGCATAGTCGCCTCTGGCCTCGGCCAACCTCTTGGAGATGGACATAGCTTGCCCCATCCTCCCAGAGTCCATGGTTTCTGTCACACCAGAGAGCACCTACTACTTCCCCTACTACTTCAAAGCCAGGCCCTTCCTTATTGCCATCTGCCTCTGCATCAGGAAAGGTCTAGAGCACCCCAAAGACGCATCATCGCACCTCTCAATGTGGTAGCTGATTCACCTTGAGGGTACAGTGGTCCCTGGCTCCTTTGAGCCCCTTGCTTCCTCATCCACAAGATGGAGACATTAGGACATTGTGCCCAGACGGTGAGGAGTCCGAGATTTAAGGGATTTAAAGGTACGCCGGGCATTGTGAAACATGGCCCCTACAAAGGGGATCAACAGGCCTCAGACCCGGATCGGCATCTCCTGCAACCAAGTACATCACTCTTTCCAGTCAGGGTTAAGCAAAGTGACCTGTGCACATCTGCTGGGGGTCACAGACTATGCTGCAACAAACTGCTCTCCTAATCAGCTTTGTTCTCATGGGACAATGATGAAGAAAAGCAAAGCTCTGTATACCCCAACATGAGCAGCATGTCAGGTGATGATGTGTGCTCTGGAGGATGAGGAAGGGCACGGGGGGGAGGGGGCTGCTCTTCCCAAGTGGACGGGAAATGGCCACGAAATGGCCTGAGTCGAAAATTTCTGCGGCGTCAAATGGCATTTTTCTCACGACTCAAGATCTTCTGCTCCACTTGTGAAACACTTTATCATTAATGCTCGTTTTGTAACAGGAATCTCAAATATTTGCTACTTTATGTGAATCTCCAGTCACAGCTTCAGTTTAATCTGCTCCTGGAATCTTTGCTCTCCTCGCAAACATCCCTGAAGGCCTGGAAGGAAGCCCCAGTTCATGCTACCTGCACTCCACACGAGCTCAAGGAGCAAGGGTGCACAAGTGGATCAATGATGCCTGGGTGCAAGAGCCCTGAGCTTCACTGTCCCCGGGGGACAGACCCTCTTCCCACTCCATCAGGCCTTACACCACCCCTTTTTGAATCATGAAGACAAAATCTCCAATCCCCTCCAGCCCTGAGACCCAGAGAGGGTTCCCTATGGAAGGGCATGTCCAGGGAGAATGTTACAGGAGACATCGTCAGAGGCCACCGGGGAGAACCAGCCTTGTATGTTGGTACGGTGGGGAAGGGAGCAGAAGGGAGACGGTGCAGGAGAAACCATGGACTCTGTAGGATCAGGTCCAAACTCATGTCCTACAAAAATCTCCCCAATTCTGAGCCCGATTCTGACAAGAAACACTGGGCACTTAGCCACTTCACTCAGAAGACCCTACACCTCCTCTCTAGACCCAAGGCCAGCTCCTGAATCCAGGGGCTCCTGGGAGGGCCTTCAGAAGCCCCTGCTGGACCCTAGGAGCTGAGAAGAAGAGGCCAGAGGGGATGGGTGTACTGCCAGACTCTGACCACACCCCTCAGGAAGGCAGTGGTGAGGGGCCACAGGAAATGGAAGGAAGAACAGGAGGAGGGCAAGCAAAGCAAGGAGTTTTAAGAACTGTTGAAAGTCATGAAACCAACCGTTTCCTATATGTGATGTTTTCATGGATGGATATTTGCATATTATTTACAAATTGGGATGTTTGAGCAGCAGGTGCGCAACATACAGACGGAGACATGGTTTTCGCGTTGTATGTTGGTTGGATGGCGTGAGTCAGCAGGTAGGTTAAGGTAAATCAAGAACAAAAACAGAAAACAAAAGAGAAAATGAGTCATCAACACAAGCAAAAACTCAAACTTTGAATACCTCACTGGAAAATTTTAGGATTTTAGTAAACTTTGTATATTTGGCTTAAAATGCATCAAATCAAAACATATTTTTGAAATCTGTAGGTTATGCAGACAGGGTGGCATTCATTTGCATTCCTGTTTGTAATGCAAATCCAAAGATGACTCACAGACACTTATTTTTTTTATTTCCAGGCAAAGAAATCAATGTCAGTTTTATGTTTGCTTGGGAATGCTGTCTCTACATGACCCTGGTTAATACTATTACTCTATTTTGATTAAGTTGGTGGTGGGAACTGACACTCATATTTTTGCCTAAGGAAAAAAAGTACATTCACAAAGTAACATATGAAGTGACTACAAACGAACAAAAATAAAGACACCACTAATCCACATGACGACTTCCTTTCATCTTTTCCCCTCTCGGCAGAACTGGGTGAAGGACTGAGCTCCGAGAGCACCAGCGGCCAGGGCACAGCAGAGCTTCCAAGCCAAGCGGCTCCTCAGCCCTCCCACCAACGCTGCTAGGCATCAGGGGCTGATGGCAGCAGCCATGGAGGGCTTATTTGAAGCAAGGTCTGATACAACCACAAGCCCGCTTGGCCTAGAGTGTCCAACAGCTGAGGGACAGACACTGGGCTACTCCAGCCACCTGCACTACAGAAGGTCTCTGCCTTGTGTGCGGGCCTCTTTGGAGGTGGAGGTTTCCCTGCAAGACAGCTGGGCGTCGTGCTCTCTGCATGTCTGGCAACCCCCACCCTTGATGCCTGCTCATCAGTCCGCCCTCTTGGGCGAGGAGGCACACACATGAGGAAACCCCCAGAGCTGTGCCCTTGCAGACAGGACTGCACTGTCTGGATCCCTTTATCCAGGGAACAAAGATGCCTGTGTCCAAGGATGGGGCCCATAAGGATCAGCAGCCAGCTTGCTCCTCCCAGCAACCACACTGGTACGAACTATTTCTGGATGAGAAGCACTTGGGCAATGCCACAATGCCAATGGTTGGTGTGACAGAACATCCTTGGTTTTTGTGTGAAAATGGCAGCTCAGAACTTTCCCCGCATTATTT